AGAAACAAATCCAGATTCCAGTTAAAGAGCCCTTAGGAAGGTGAGGTGTGCCTTACTTCTGGTTTGAATTGGCCTAGCTTCAACTCCCAGATACTCAATCCTGATGTGCCTTTGTAGGCTAGGTTACAGATCCCTCCCACTACCAGAAATTGTCTCCTGCTGTGGGTGTTTACGCACTGTGATCACATTGCCTCGTCACCCTCTGTTTGACAACCTAAATAGACTGAGCTTCTTAAACTGATATTGTGGGCCAGATTTGTTGTTGGTGATGGCATCTCTCTCTCCAGGGATGAATGAGTGGTGGGGGACTTCCCAGCATGACAGAGAAGTGGCAGAACTAGCGATATTCTCCAGAATCATGGAACAGAGGTGGCAGGAGCCAATACAATCGAGGACTCCCCCCCGTACAGTGGGTCTGGCCTGACTTGTTCATAATATCAAAGGGAATGATAGAAGAACAGAGGGGGAAGAGAATAAGCCCACGGAAAGGTACAATGGAATCTGGCAATAAGAACGGCCATACTGGGTCAGACCAAAGGTCCATCTAGCCCAGTATCCTGTCTTCCAACAGTGGCCAATGCCAGGTGCTTCAGAGGGAATAAACAGAACAGGTAAAGCTAAAGGGATGATGAGCTGACCCCTTAGTCCCAGACCAAATGCAGCCCTGGTAAAAGCAGGTGAATTAGATTCACAATCCAAGACGAACAGGAGATGACTGCTATCCAGGCTCCTGCCCGGGTGCAGAGAAAAATCAAATGGCAGAGGAGCAACTGAAGACATGCTGGGACTGCTGAGGGTGTGTTGAATGCAAGGGAATCCTACCCATCCTAAAGGGCCCCCAACCCCCGCTGAGCTACCTGCTGTTCCCCAAACCTCACAGCTCAATCTCCTGCTGTTTGTCTCTCTAGCTTCTGCCTTTGCCTTCAGTCAGCTACAGCTGGGCAGGAAATGGATTGCCAAGCCCATGAATTTTTGAGATTCTGACACTTTTTCCCACTCCAAATGGGGTTCAAGGTCAAAATCTCAAACTTCTTAAAACTGATAAGCAAAGAAGAATTTCAAATTGAAATGATTTGTCTGGATAATTTCAAAACATTTTGCTTTGATTTGAGTTTGGCCATTTTTAATCTTTTAAACTTTTTTCATGTAAATTAACATTACAAAACAAAAAGCCTTTGTCTTCAAACTGGAAAATGAAGCTTTTCATTTAGAAAATGTCAAAATGGGAGGTTTCAATAGTTTCAAAACCATTTCTTTCACGTTGTTGGTTGGGGTTGTTTTGGAATTGGGAGATTTGTTGACACGGATCCTCTTCCACGAACGGTTTTGTTTTCAATTAATTGGCATTTTCTGACAATAATAAAAGTTTTGCAGGAAAATTCCTGCCCGACTCTACTGTTCCCTGTGGAAAATCAGCCCCAATGCATGGCTCCCAGCAACTGTCCTTGTGTCCTCTCTCCGCTGCCAATAGGCAGCCAGATGTCTCACTGTGACACTCAGACATGAACCCAGCCAACACAATTAGATCAATTAAGATAGAACCATTTAAAGGCGATTAAGGGTTCCTCCGTGCATCATTAAGGGTATAATAGCTAGCAGTTCGCTCCTAGACAAGGCAGCAGTAGGCAGTACACTCCAAGGTGGGAAATAATACTCAAGCTGAGTTTCCATAGTCTATGGCATGTGATTTCCTAGCCTTACACGCTTTCTTTTTTTAATTGCTTATAAAATAAGTGCTGAGCTTTCAGTTCATGTGTTGGGTTCGTATATCAGCTGACGGCAGGGGGCTTCTCAGGTACCAGTGCCATGAATTGTGCTTTCACATGGAGGAGACGTGGCCAAAGTCTCCCCTCCATCCCGCCGTCATGCACGGTGCACCAGCTGGCTGCTACCCGTCAGCCCAAGCTGGTCACATTTCCTCGTGCTGTATTTGTCTAAGGCGCCCGATCTAAAGCCTGTTGAAGTCAATGGGAATCTGTCCGCTGTCTTCAGCGCGCTGTGATTCAGGCCCCTAGTTTGCAAAGAGCTTTGGGATCCTTCGTAATGGAAGGCGCTACATAAATGTCGTGTCACACTTATTGGAACCAGTGAGACTGCAAACTTCTAGACTGCCTTTCGCTGGGGAAACTACTTCCCTGCCTCTTGCAAGGCAAGAGCCTTTGTCTACTGATGGGTGACCCAATGTCTGTATTCGGGCTGAGCTAAAAGATGGAGAGGAGAGTGAGTTGCCTCCATCTCCACCTGCTTGAGCTCATGACGCAATTCCAGGCACAGCGGCACCATTCTATCCTTAGAGCGGCGTTCGTGGTAGGCACTCTTTCAGGCTGAGTTCAAAGCCTGGGCTTCAGAGAGAGAGAGTCTCTATACTTGAGCTAAGCAGGGCTCAGTAGGGATGCAGCGATCTCAAAAGCCCATAGCGGGAACTGCATTTTTTTTTTTTTGAGAGTCTGATTTAGCTGTCGCTTACCGAGGTTTTATATTCGTGTAACTGCCTTGATTCAGAGGAGTTACTCCAGCTTTACAGGAATGTAAGTGTTTGTCTACACTTGATGTCTCTCTTCTGGTATTATGGTATAAGCTCCCAGGTGGGCATTCTGATTCCACATGGCAAGCTGTTCCAGAATAGCTGTTTTGGTAAACGTCTAAGTGTAGACAAACTCTTAGTGGGCCCAGAATCAGGATTCTGATGCCTTTCCCTTGAATGGCCTGTCTCATGGCTGGAACATCATTGCAGACAGCCCTTTGGAAAGAGACTAGCACATTGCAGATATTACTGAACACAAATATGTAATAAAAGTTAATAACCCCCAGTGAAAGGTGTCATTAAGTGTGGAATACTGCTGCTCTCCTTTTGCAAAACCTGGGAAAGCTGAAGAATCCCCTCCCAACCCACAACCACCCTTCCAACTCCATACGAGCTGCCAGCATCCTAATAACCAAGGTTGAATGCATCCTTGGCTCCACTAGCATTTCTGGCTCAGAGATGTAATGTGCTCCCACGTTAAGGCACCGGTTCAGTTCAGAGCCCGTGAAGGTCTCATTATTCTGAGAACTCCAGGTCTCAATGGAATTCCGCCACCCTACGTTTCTAACGCAAGGGGTGAGGAGGAAAATGGAAGTGAGGGTTCAAGAGCAAATGTGTAGGTGGGGCTGGAACTCCCTCTTTCCACAGAAAGACCTGTCCCTCTGACACATCTGTCACAGTTCAGGGCAACTGCACCTGATGTTCCCCTTGACAGTTCAGCCAGGGCACCTGCTCTCATGCTTCTAGTTCTCCCCAGCTGTTGCCTCTCTTGGGCGGAGAGACAGATCTCTGTCCCTTCTAACCAGGGTATTTCTGGGCTGTGCGGTTCCCTGCCTATGCTGTGCATTTCCCAGCAAAGACAGTCTGCCTAAACAGACCTGTTTGCTTTCTCTTCAGCAACTCATCAGAGCGATTGCTGCAGATATAAGTTACTCCAGAGTTTTCTAAGCAACTTTCTTGCTTCTGAAGGTACAAAGCACTATAGAGAGAACATATTAAAAACAATAGAAGAGCCTACACACGTGCTAAGCTTACCAGAGACCACATCTGCCCCAGGGTTTTCCCTGTGGTTACAAGTTGATCGCCGCTTCAGCTCAGAACAAGCACACAATTGGATGAGGCCTCAGTAGGCCAAGTCCTTCCAACCCCACCCTAAGGAGTGGGTCCCTTTGGTAAACCAGGAGTCCTGGCTGTTTGCTGGATCAGGGTGAAGGTCCTGAGTCAGCCTAAACTCAGGCTTTTAATCCAAAAGTCTCTTTGCCTGTGGGTCTCTGGAGAATCCAGTGGGGACTACTGATATATGCATATCTCCTGGGGGTGGCTTCAAAGGTTGGTAATGGAGGAAGTTCATTAGCATCCCCCCTTTCTACTAGAGACGGTGCATACAATGCCACAACACATGCACAATTGCATTTCTAACGCAGTGTACCCCAAAAGGGTCCGCCTTCATTCAGTAAAGCTTATCTAAATTCCAGAAGGTTTCTTCAGGAAATGGCAGGATAGTGTCAACCTGTCACAATGTCTGTAGAAACTCAGTTTCCAGATAGAAAAGTTGCAAGCAATTGAGCTGGTGGTGTGGCTTTGCTCAACATTGAGAGAGAGGCTGGCTTTGGAGTTAAGGCACTGAGCGGGGAGCTGAGAGACTGGGTACAGTTTCTTTGGCTCCGCCACAGGCTTTGTGTGACCTTGGGCAAGTAAAAGGAGGCTAATAAGCCTTCCTTTCTCCAACCGTTTGTCTGTCTTGCATTCTTAAACTATAGATTCACTGGCGCGGGCACTGTCTCTTAGTGCGTATCTATATAGCTCCTAGCACAACGGGGCCCTGATCTTTGCTCGTACGCCGAGGCACTACCATATAACTACAGTGATAACTCCATTTTGCCAAAATACTACTGGCTGGGTTCTGGTGGGGGTAGGGAACCCATCTGCACAGGCTGGTGGATCACAGGAGGCAGACATTTGTCTGGCAAATATATAGCAAAGGGACACTTGTGCATAGCTGGCCTATGTTTCTGAGTGCAATTTCTCCTGGGGTTTTCAAAGTCACATGTTTAATATGAAGTGCCAGTGATCAAGAGTCTTAATGCAGCTCAAAAGAGCTCTCTGCAGCCTCTCATGACATCCGTGAAAAGCACTTTAGGAATAGCATGAGCTGAACGGCATGAGTGATGCCTGGTGGCCAATATAACACAAGCATTCCTGGCATTACAATTCAGGGAGAGGGGTCTGGTGCTCAACATGGTGTTCTAATGCGATGAAGTATGAGCCAGCAGAATTCCTTTGGGAATCCTGGCCCCGGCCTGTTAGACGTGGCTCGCCTTATCCTCCTCGCCCCTGCTAGCAGCCAAGTGTCACAGTTCAAAATCCGGATGATGCAGCTCAGGAGGCAAAGTTGTTAAATAGCCCAGGAAAATCTGTCTGCATTTTTGCTGTGTCTCCAGCTCATTTATTCAGAGTAACAAGGGAGCTGGGCATATTTACACAGTTGGGTTTGTTTAATGCTTTTGAAAGGAACCATAACCAGTTAAATACCAAGAGTATTAATGCTCTAAACATGCTGGAATATAAATATAGCAGGAGATAAAAATCCAGTCGGTCTCCGGTATTATGGAGTTTGGGGAGAGTTGAAGCTTCCTTTGAACAAACCAGCTCTAAACAGTTGCTCGCTTTCACAGCACATTTGGGAGAGATTAAAACATATATAATGGTACCTAAAGGGACAGATCTTCAGCTGGTGTAAATGGGTGTAGATCCATTAAAGTCAATGGAGCTTCCTCTATTTCCATTAGCTGGGGATCAATCCCAACATCTCCTAAGCAAGTAATGGGGCTTTTATGGTTAGTTGTTTTGCTATAAAGCAAATGTTTTCCCAAGAACAAGGTGAAATGCAAGGAGGGCAATAACCATTCTGGAAGCTGGAGTTTCAAATGCAGATTTTCAGAGCTTCTGTTCTAGAAGACCAGGGCCAGCTGCTGTAAATGAAACAAAATCCATACAATTTGAAATCAGCCTCATCTCTCGTTCTTTGTGTCATTTAAACAAAGCAGAAAGCCAATCACTCCACTTATCTGATGTAAACCAGGCTGCTTCTTTCTACTTTCAAATCACATTCGCACTCCTTGGGCTGGAGTCACATTCCAGCCACTACATTATCCTTTGTATCCTTAGCAAATCATTTCTTTTGAGAGCTCTGCAGATTGAGGTAACTTTGTCTACAGGCTGTATGAATCTTAGTGGCTGGACCACAGTGCTCTGATATCATTTGGGTGTTTACATCTTAAACTGCCTGGCAGCCACTTCCCATTTCTCCTGGTGGCTTTCTCAACTCGCTCTGCTGCTGTCTCACCCCCACGATAACAGCTGCTATATGGTACTTTCCAGAGGTGGGTGACGGTCATTATCCCCATTTTACAGATGGGGGGTACTGAGGAAGAGAGCAGTGAAGAAGCTTGACCAAAGAGGCCCATCCCTTGGGCAGCACTGCCTATTATTTTTACACCAGGCCCTGAATCCCTTGATACATGGAGCTGCATTCATGCGACCCACATGGGGTATGCCATGCCCTGCCTGCAATGAGAGCATTAGGGTGTTGCCACATCACAGCCTGAACCCTTATGAATGACTCACATTGAGCTCTATTTCAATGATGAGAGGGCTCGTCTCCTCTCCTATTGATCCGGATACCTATTGTAACAAGTGTAACTCGCTGGTGAGTGGGTGCTACAGGTCCCCTCTGTGCTGCTCTGCAGGCGATGAGAGCCACAGCCCCTGCCTACAGAACTTTAGCTGAAGCCATCGCAGCTCCTGCTTTTTGCTCTAGAGTTCCCTGGTTCCGTTCTCAGTGTGTCGGCCAAGAGGATGGGTGTCACGCAAACATTCCCATCCACGTGCCTGGCCAAGTGCACCGGGCCCAATTCTGTTTTCTCTGACCCCCATCCACCCTGCCGACCTCCCTGAACCCCATTATCAAGTGACCTGGCCATTGCAGACTTAGTGGCATGGCAGCATCTGACTATGGTGGGGGCAATTTCTCTCTTCGCAGGATCCTACTGTCTGGAACTTAACCATATGTATAAAGCCAATACAATTCGGGCTCCTATCCTATCTTCCAAATCTAACATAAAAGTGATGGGTGTGATATTTACCTAGAGTATCCTTCCGTCACTGTGCAACGAAGGAAAGCAGAGAGCTCCCGCGAGTGAAACAATCTTAGACTGTCAGTTTAGTGCTTCCTTCCTTCACGCACAGGTCTGTCATGGCCCTTCTGCTAGCCAGTTCAGTGGCTCGCCCTTTGCATAAACCCCAGTTGTTTAAACGGCTTAGGAATTTGTCATTGTTGTTATGAGTAGGAGGAGCAGCAGAAACAATCCGTACCCCTGTGTCCACATTGCACACGCTTCTTAGACCGTGTCAGGAGGTTTATTGCCTTGCTGAGTCCTGATGCGCACTGAAGTCAGCAGGTGCTGGGTCTGGGTCTGCCCCCTGTCCTCATGTCCGAAGCCTGCCAGCTTGCCAGCAGGGGTGCTTCAAGGGAGCTGTGCCTGTTTGGTGCTTTTCTCTGCTGGGTTGCGTCACCACAAGTATGTCAGCTGAAGGCTGTGTCTATGCTAGGAATGCTACAGTGGCACTGTAGTGTAGACACTTTCAACAGCGACGGGAGGGGCTCTACCATCCCTGTAGTAAATCCACCTCTCTGTGAGGCAGTAGCTTGGTCAGAAGAATTCTTCCATCGACCTAGCCGGTCTGCACTGAGGTCTTAAGTGTGTTTAACGACATCTCTCAGGGGGGTGCATTTCTGACCCGTAGCTGGGTCTACCTAACTTTCCAGTGTAGACCACCCCGATTCTCCCTTCCAGCCAGCTCCATGTTATCATACTCTGCGCACTGCTCTTCTCATGCTCACGGCTCGGATTCACTGCCCGATGCATTAGCATCATTTCTTATCTGGTTCCTTAGTGCCTTATGTTCCCCTCCTGTGCTAACCCTTATGGAAGTACAGCGCTGTGGGTACTAAAAACTGGTCCAAAAAAAAATCCATCAAAACATTTTCCCAACGGATAATGACTATTTGATAAAAATGGACATTTTCACTGAAAAAAAAATGTGGTTTTGTCAAACTTTTTTTGGGGGGGAAGGGGGGATTCAAAAGCTGAACATTTTTTAGGTGGGGGGAGAGAAATTCAGTATCTAAACTTCTTGTGGGGGGGAGGGAAACTAATTTCCCAACCTGCTCTAATGGTAACAGTGTAGCAGTAAGGGAGACTGCCAGAGGTACGCAGCTCCCACTGACAGCCAGAGGGGGTCTGAATCCCTCACTCCCATTTGTGCCTTTGAACAGCTCTCCCTTGGTAGGCTAGCCAGCAGAACATTGACATGACATGTGTTCCCTGTGTCCTAGGGATGGATGCCTGCTATCTCCTGGTCTGAAACACTACCGTGCAATGCGTTCTACTTAGACTAAGCTTTTGGGGGCAGGAATGGGCTATTTGTTCAGTTTGTACAGGGCTTAGCACAATAGGTCCTGGCCCGTGACTCCTATATGCTATGATAAGACAAATAGTCACCAATTTCCAGGAAGCAGACGCAGTGGCATATTTCATTGATTCTGAAATCAAGCCATGTTGCACAATAAGTCCATTCAGCTGCGACCAATTCACACGAGTATATAGGGAAGATCCAGTGCTTAGGAGACGTAAATGTCCCACCAAGGCACAGATCTTTGCTTCGTGTTGCTCCTTGGCTTTGTTAGGGATGTTGTTTGACTATGGATGCATTGTGCACTTATTTTATACTGCAATTCATAAATAAAGAAACCCGAGTCTGTCCCAGTAGCAGAACAAGGCTTCCCCATACGAATCTGAACCTTTGCTTTACTGACCTGTTTCTGGGTCTGCCGAGGTCTGAGCTGGTCAGCCCCATGCATACCTGCATGCATGGGACCCCAATGGGATCCCACAGATCCCTCCAGGTGTTGTAGCTGAGCATTCTTGGCCTGAGAAATCGGTCTCTTGCCTCTGTTACTTGGTACCTGTGCAGTTTGTTGGCTGTTGTGCCATTCGGTAGCTTTTGCCCTACTTTCTAAGCATCTCTGCAATAAAGGGGAATAAACTTATCTCCATGACAACAAACCTGATTTTTGTTGTGGTGTTAAGGTGTAGTTAGAAACGGCAGCAGGTTGCTATGGTAATGGAGAATGCCATCTGGTTGCCCTAGGAACTACGGCAGGCTACTCAGACTGATTCAAGTGAATGTCTTCTGAATTATAACCAACCAAGTTTCGGAGGCATTGCTGAGGGAGGCCTGAGTGACACAAACCAATGATCGTGAAGTTTCAAAGACGTATTGGTCGTGTAGCTGTATTAGTGCATTCTCGGGGCCTATAGGAGGGCTCTCTGTAAGACATTCCAAAGTGCTTTGTCTAGCCTACCTCCGAATAAGTCAAGTGATGGTGCCTCCCCCCAGCTCCTTTGGGAGGCTACTTGATGTCTAACTGCCCATGCTGACATGAGCGCCTTGTGAGATGGCACCTCTGTGACACTGTGTGAAGGGTGATCTTGCTTGCACTCGAGCCTGCTGAGAAATTATTGGTAGGTTCAGTGGAAAATACCCTCTCTCCGATTGCTTCTTTCTATCTTCATGGGAAGCATTAAGGGCTGTTCTTCTGTGGTTAGATGAGTGGCCTGACTTGGAACCCTATTGCAGTTGGCCTGAGCACTGATATCTTGGTAACTGCTAACAGATTGGATCACGGAAGCAGAGCAAGCTACTGGCGTAACCTTACCCCTGTGTGCACGTGAGGAATTCCTCTGGGACTAGGGTCAGAGGCATCATTGGAAAGGAAAATGGAACTGATCCATGAAGAGCCAGATCGCTGGAGGGTGGGATTCTGCGCCATTTGCGGTAACTGCCCAACTCAATGCTGCAGTAGAGAGGCTTCCCAACAACAGCATTAAAGCTAGCAAAGGGTTGAAAAGAGACGACTGGTGCGGGCTGTTCTCACATCACCCTATCGAGCATTGGAATCTGGTTGTCCTGGGCTATGCCTTTGTGCAGCAGACCCGCCCCCAAAGACCTTTAATGAAGCATTTCAAATCACCTAGTCATTTCACATTCACAAGCAACCT